AATAATTTCAGATGTTCCTACGCCGTTTTTTAATTTTTTTTTTAAAGGTTTGCTGTTTTACCTTTTCAACTTTTGGTGGTCACCTTGTTTATTACTTTAGATTTTTTTTTTAATTGATAAAGCTTCAAGCTCTGTTTTTGTTTTTGTTTGCCTAAGGAAATGATCTGATTCTATAAATCAGTCGCACTCGACTTAACTTAAATTAACTTTAAATATTTTTCAGAGGACTCGTTTACATTTCCACTCAAACAATAATGGTATACTGCCCTCCGTATTTAATGATATGTTTCTTAAAAACCATGCTGTTCATAGATATCCCACTCGACAATCCGATGAGTTTCACTTACCTCTTTTGAGAACATGTTCTGCACAGAACACGTTCATTTTTGAAGGCCCTAAATTTTGGAACACTCTGCATAACGATTTGAAAACTTCCCCTTCACTAATTGCTTTTAAAAAAAAGTTAAAATTTTCCTTATTACAATCTTATAATATTTAGAAATTTATGGTGATAGAACATCTCCTTCCCAATTTTGTTTTCTTTCCCTCTTTTCTGCAGCCCATCTAAAAAAAAAAAAAAAAAAAACTACTTGCCATCATGTTCTTGCTCTTTTTGTTTCAACTATCTCAAGGAATTTGTGCGCTCCCTATTTCGTGCTCGATCTCTACAACTTTCCTTTTCTCTCCTCTCCTTCCCTCCAAACGCAGCCCACATTTTTTCCTTTTTGTTTTTCTTCTTTTTTCTGTTCTTTCTTCGTCATGTAATTTATTACGTCTTTTTGTTTACAGTCAATACGTGTTTTAATAAATGATCTCTGTTGGCCACTATTCTTCTTTCATTGATTATGTATTCCATATTTTGTTCACACTCATTATTATCTGAGGGGTCCACAATTTACAAGCTTTGCTTTTCAGTGGACCTCTCCATTTCCTCAAAATATAAATGCAGTTAAATTTAAAAATTCATTTTTTGTCTTACTAAAATGTATAAATTATTATTAAGATTTGTTTATTACAAATGTAACTATGTTTTGTATACATTTTACATTGTATTCGTTATTATGTATTGTATTTTGTTGGAAATGAAAAAATAAAAATGAAATGAATGAAATGAAACTCTACTATATCGGTAGTATAAATAATCGTACACGCATGAATAATAACCAAATACACGTTAATTATTTTTCTGCAATTATAATTTTATGAGGAAATCTTTGAAACTTTGTATCAGGGCAAATAGTACGAAGAATTACCTCATAAAAGATGGAAATCATCACTTTGGAGTTTGGACTGAAAAGAAGTTTAATGAGACGCCGAGTGAAAATCTTATCAATCGGAAACGATTCGGTCTGGCGATTAGTCTATGTGGAATAAAATTGTATGGTTTATTAGCGCCCTCTCCAAATAATAATTATGCAGTTCATTGACAAGGCGAATGCAAGCCGTTTCCATTGTCAAATCGATTTCGACTTCTGACTTTCTTCAATAAATCATTCCCAAATATAGTGTTAGCTATAAGGACACGGGGCACGTATCCCCCCCCCCCACATCGAGTGTTGAAAATATACAGCAAGAAAACGCCAGAAAAGAGAGAAAGGGAGAGGGGAAAGGGGAAGAAGACGAGTGGGGGGGGGGGGGGCATGGACCACCTGCGCATCCTCAATGAGTGGAATCACGCTGCATCACTGCTCATAATATATCGTCGCTAACATAAAACATTCACAACTATTAGTAATTTTATTAAGAATAGTTATCTCAAAGCAATATTGCACTGAACAAAGGCAATTCGTTTGCTCGTTTGCATGCTTCGATCCCCCACAACATAATATATAAATTAACTGGAAGGCTGATACAAACATAAACAATGTCATGTTTCGGTAAGGCGACGACACCACCCTTTTTGGTTTGATATTCTCTTCACACAACAAAAGATATAGATTAAATCCGTATTAGCTGTAACATTAAATTTTGTTTTGACTTTAAACAAAACCTCGGACAATATTTTAGGGTAATAAGATTTGGATAGTAAGCACCATTTTCTTCCCATCTTTTAATGTACTGAATGAATGAATGATATGGGGAAAGATACGCGAAAGAAGATGATAAGACCCCTCCCTTCACACTTTTACATATGGTCTAGTATGTTTTTATGTGTAAAGTAATGATTTAAAGATGTTAGATTTATCCAACCTGTTGCGATTTAGAGTATAGGTCTATTTCAGGTTTAAGTTTCAAGTGTAGTATATTTCCATTTCACACTTTATCGAAGATAACATAATTGAACATAATGAACATGGTAATAATTATAACTAAACATACAATATAGAAAACATAATGTACATGATAATAGTTATAACAAAAGATCATAAGTATGATACATACATTGCAAAAAGCTAAATAAAGTGAGGGATCTACTAAAAAGCAAAGCTTTTAATATTATGTAGGTCCCAGTTAATAGGTTTGTATATTTTCGGCCCAATTTTATTTTCGATCGATTTCTAATACGTTTTGCAGTTTTGCAGATTATTAGTGAACAAAATATGATATTTTTGTTTTTCAACAGTGTTTTATTTGTCCTCATTAATAGATGAAATAGGCATTTATTAGAGGGTTTGTATTACAATCAAAGCAATAATTATCTCATATGATCATTTATATTAACCCCCCAAAATTCAATATTTGCAATCCTTTATAACAATTGAAAATTGATTATACTCAGAGATCGATGTTGGTAAGATAATAATCTGATGGTGTCCTAACAAAAACAAAATCAAAATTATTATTCGACTTCGCAAGAGTGGAAATACGGGGAATAGGCCTAGACATTTTTGTTATACAAGACAAAGAGGAAAAATCATGTTATAAAATGAAAATAAATCATTCTTCCTCCCTTTTCTTTCATTCATTCATTTTCTCCCCCCCCCCCCCCCTCTCGCCCCTCTCTCTCCTTCTCTCATTCTTTCTTTCTTTCTCTCTCTCTCTCTCTCTCTCCCTCTCTCTTTCGCTTTCTCTCATTCTTTCTCTCACTCTTTCTTCCGTCGTCCGATTGAGGCCTGGGCCTGAATGATATTATGAAGAGTTACGATTGATTCAAATCAAACGCAAATTAAAATGTATGCATCTTTATTTGTCTTTATTAACAAATAAAGATTATTATATCTGCAACTTGAAAAAAGTATAGGGCGATTTCGTTAACCCTTATACTCCTGGTACACGGGACACTTCCCCTGTATTAACCTGTAACGAAATTGCCATACGTGTAATCAATGCACCTGTTCTGTATATACTGTATCATCTTTAAAGACCGTCACCACTACTGGGCAAGAAGGGATTAGACCACACAGCGAGCCATCGAGGTCACTGTGACAGGTGGCTATCTCATTAACTCAGCTCTCATTTAACATAAGAAAAAGAGGATCATGGGGGACCAACAGGCACCGATTGGGGAAGTTTTCTATATAGAGGGAGCAAGTAGCTACAAGTATGGCAGTGTGCCTTTAAGGAGTTGTTGCCCTTTTGGGAAAGCTTCGTGTACGTTTATATTAAAACAAATTAACGCTGTCTTGTTTATTTTCTTTTACTGATTCGATTCGATTTATTCGTCAAGTCCAACGTTACATATATGATATTTAAAAAAAAAAAAAAAAAAAATTATAATAACTTGACAGGATGAGCCCTGAAAGTTAAAAACATTTACAATGGGTCCTATTTACAAAGTATGGATTTATAATTGGTTGATTTAAGGATACAAATTTGTCCCAAAAAATAATCAAGAAGTAAGCACAAACAAGATAAACAACACGATAACAGCCAAAAAGAAATAACACTAATAGTTAGAAAGCGTACTTAGGTCTAACACACACATGAACTTTGGGTTGCGAAGCATATGGCAAGTCAGTTATGAAATTAATATGAAACTAGTCCAATGTATCCAGAGTAGCCATATCGGTATTAATAGGCCCTTCCCCGGCATTGCCATTGACCTGGGTCGAGAGGGAAATGTGGGTAAAAAAAGACCTTGCCCAGGGGGGGGGGGGGGGGGGGGGGGTAAAAGCACCGAGCGAAGATCGAACCGGGGACCTCCCATCAACAGTCTTCACCTATATACCACACGTGACAATGACAATGACAATCATTTTTATTTCTTTGACGGCCTCTTCTGGGGCATGGAAGAAATACAATTGAATAGAACAAATATAATGTTCAACAATAATATTTATATTTAAAAAAAACACAGAAAATCTTTGGCAGCGAACAACAAACAAATGACGGCAAGCTTTAAGATATACTTTAAAAAAATACATAATACCCTATATCTCAACTGGCAGTACTGCCACTACTATATACATGTATGTACACTTTATTACTAAAAAACGACAACACATTAAACCAAAAATCTAACGTATTAAAAAGGACCAAACAAAATATCCAAACTTAGACATTTATGATCTTACAAAATTTGGAAATGTTCTATACTATGTTCCATTTGCTTACGAAAATCATTGAATGCTGGACACCCCAGCACATAATGAAATTCAGGAAACATAACTCAAGAGGTTGATCATAAAAATAATGAAATTTGGTAACTGGCAGCTTATTAATTATTACCACAACGATTCTATCACCTACGTGATCGCAACAGTTCTGAATCGAAACATCTTTGAAAATGGGAGGGACCAACCCACAGCGCGCTACAGGTGGTGGAACTACGCACCCTCACCCCTCCCCTCCCAATCCCAGCTCCGCTTCTTTGTGCTTCCACATAAATCATTCATTTCATCATAACAACTTAAAAGAATGTTTACAAACACGGCGGAAGGGATTAGAATAGAGAATGTGCCTTTTTAAGAACATGAAGTTCTGATTTTCATTGTTGAAAACGATCTCTCTTTCAGATAGCAATCAGCGTAAAATTGTGACTTCCTGAGTTTCTTTTTCTTTTCATTTTTTTCTCCAAAACCACTCCTCCACGCTTGGATGATTGACAAGCCTCGAAGCTGCATTCGTGCTGTGTGCTGCAATGCATACACACACAGCTACAGTGCAGAGCAGTGCATGCATGTAGTACGGTAATTGCTTAGCGCAGTGCTGTCGCGAGTCCATCTAGTGAGTTAACGGTCCTTCCCGGTTTTTCTTGGATTTATACACGGATATCAGGTCAAGCTGGCGTGGTTATCAGACGAAGATGACGAAGCGGTATGTGATTTTTCAAAAATCTCATTTAATTACTAATTTTTGATGTAGATTCGTCAAAATCTTAGTTCAAAGTCGGGATAGGGTGTTGGATTTTGCAGCGGTACTCCGGCGACTTTGGCAGGCGGAGCACGCGGGGCAATGGGCAGTGTGTGAGAGTGTGTGTGTTCGAGGACGGGCTAGCTGTGAGGGGAAGGTGTGCATTTGTCTACGTGCGCTCAGCCAGCGAGCCGAGCCGTGCTCTGTTCAATGTGTTTATCACATAGCGGTGGAATGATGTTTAAACATGATTTAAAGTTTAAAGGGCCGCACGTTTTGCTGTGCGCGGAAGTTTGTTTTCTTTGTTCATATAGAATCACCCACATGGAGCCACCATGTTGTTTACAAATATATTTATTAGGCTCTAGGGAGCCTCCCAGATTCGACAGACATTGACCTGTCTTTGATGTCTTTCATGGCAATAAAACAGTTTTTATTGTATGCAACTGACTTGTGCTGGAAGTGTACAGAACTAGCTACAGACATTTTGGGACCAGTTATTAATCAGTCTCCCTTTCATTCTGGTCTAGGCAATCACTATCAGATATTTCAGAGTAAAAAAAAAATCCAATAAATAGATTTGTGTATGATGAAACAAATGGATCCGAAACAAATACATATTACATTCTTTTAGTTTGTTCTGTAAAAATATAACATTTTAAGTTCAAATCACATTTTGAACCCAGTGTAATTGTTGTAGGCCTAGATCTATGTGAAAAATAAAAAGTTAAAGAAAAAAATTGGGGCATCATTGATCATTCACGAAGCTATCATAAGTACAAGTTTGCCGACATCCCATTAATATGTGTATAAATTTTATGTTGGATGTCATTGAACTTGTACTACGACGGTTTCGTGAAATAATATGCTTTGATTGACAGCTCGGTTCATGGCCTTCTTTGGGGATTGATTGTTAAACTGTCCTGTCCAGTACCACCGTAGATGTACATTTGTAGATGTACTTCACTGCTCCACAAAATAGATTTGAATTTCTGTTCCACTTGTATGTACCTCTTTTAATATTCAATAGTGGACAAGATGCACATTTTGTCTGGACCAGAAAAGCGGGGCAATTTTGTTTCTGAAGTGCACTCTCTGTAAACATGTATGTGAATGGTGTCTAATGCTTGATGGGGATCAAATGTTTGTATTAAATATCTTCACCGAGTCAAACAGGTTTTATTTTTTACCTCATCGGGACTCTTTATTTAAATCTTGATCCACGGCCCTGTAACAAAAAAGATAAGTTAGCAATTCATTTCTATGCAATGGGCCCGCCCCCCCCCCCCCCTCTGGCAAAAAAAAGGGCTCCCAAAGTCCCACGGCCCCACCTCTGGCAGGGGGGGGGGGGGGTGTTGAGTAAAAAAAAAAATATTAAACAAAATTTTTTTATTTTTAGTGCTCATTCACCCATTGAGCGAAATAAGGGTCCACATGATTTTCAAATTTTTGCCCCCCCCCCCCATTTGAAAAAGCCTGGATATGCCATTGTGTATACATGTACATGTACATGTAGGATGTTGTCTGGGGACTTTGAATTTGTAAGATAGCACAAAGTTGGTATGGATTGAGTCAGAAGCCCTCTGTTCAAGCTTGCTCTAGTATTACTATCAGCCTTATCAGCAATTAATCAATTAACCTTTATGAAATTCAAAAGATCTACATGTACCACTCAATTATTAAAACGCAAAGATCTGGCGGCTTTGAAAATGAAAGTTGGCACAGAGTTGGTGTGGATCGAGTCAGAAGCACTCGCAGCAGACTTGCTCTTACAACTAATCTTAACTACATCTACATGCAGCAGTCATTTATGTAAGATATTCAAATGGTCCAGTACTCCATTATTATGAAACACAAAGCTCTATCGTGACCTTGGCAGTGACTGTGGTTTCAAAACCCTTACAACAACTGGCGGTGAACTTTAAACCATGCTTATTTCCTCCTCCTCTGGGTATGTATCAATTGCGCATCTGCTGGAGATCAGTTTGGGCAGGTGTCAGCGATCAGCATTTCCTTCATCTGTAACAGTGCACACTCTGATCATAGCCATGTACCCACTGACGCGACGGCTGCCTCAAAAGACTACAGTTTATTTGATAGTACAGTCAAACCTGTCTACAAAGACCACCTGTCTACAAGGTACAAAGACCACATTTTTTGTTTCCCTTGAAAACGGTTTCTCATTGAAACATGTAATAAAGGAACCTGTCTACAAAGACCACCTTTTGTTTGACTTTAATAGGGGATTTCGTCCACTGAATGTACATGTACATGTACAATACATGTACATGTACACTGTATGTCCCTCATGACATCAGGGCTCAACACTGACAGGTGCGTGGGACACATTGATGCCAAAATACAGAAGTTGGGGTCGCCGCCCCCCCCCCCCCCCCAATTTTGATATTTTTCATACATGTACATGTAGGGCTCATGCTGTTATGCATACAATGTACATGTATACAGTCTGTAAAAAGTTAAGACCAGACCCCCTCCTTAAAAAAAATAGTGTGGAACTTGTGGAAGCCTCTAATAATCAAAACAATTATCTAGTATTGATAAAAACAAAATTTATCATAACTTTGGGCTTCAGCTATGTACATACATACATGTAAGCCTGTACATGTAAGCCTAAAGCTATGGTCACAAATCAGAGCAGCGACCGACCGATCAGTAGCCTGCTCGGTCGCTGCTGGAATTAGGCATCGCCCAGCGATAAGGTCGGTGCCCGGGCGGCGACCGCCCAGGCACCGAGCGTATTTTGGGCGGCGAGTGAAAAGTGAGCAGGCGCTGCCCAAATTTTAACTCCGCGCTAAATCTTCAGCGGCGACCGAGCGATGCCCTAAAAACGAGCGGTGCCTGGGCGGCCGCCGCTCGGTGGCCGGGCAGCCGCCGGGCAGAATTGGTTAAAAACTCGCCGCTCGGCCGCCGAGCAGGCTACTTTTGGGTAATGTGACCATAGCATTAATACTAGAAATCTTCACTTGGCCAACATGTCCTTAGACATGACATTTTATCTCAAGTTGTCTCAATTAATCCAGTGGGTACTTGGACCCTGGTTTTACTTAAATTTGTTTAAGTGCATTCTATGCTGATTACTATAGCTGCTTGAACTAACAAATGTACATCAACATCATTGTACATAGATCTACAGTTTACAATATACTTTACAGTATACATGTTGATAAGATTAGGTTTGACAAATTATATTGATGCCAAGATCTACAAGGAGTTGTAGCCCCTCCTACACATAATGTACTGTACATTGTATTTGCTCGTAGATTTTAATGATGTATGTTTAAAACTGTTTGTTCTGCATGATAATGTTTACAGAGCACTTACAACACCTACATGTGTGTATTTGAGTAATAAGGAGCCATACATGTAGAACATCCTTCTACAAATGTACTTTGTATTAACGCATGTTTGCTGTAGAATACAAATTAATACAGTGTACATACAGTGTAGCTGCGATATGTCAAAATGGGAGTGTACCTGTGGTTAGAAGCTGAAAAACTTTGTATGTTGCAAGCACTTTGGCCGTTATGATATCAGGACGGACAGGACCATTGAATCATTGGTGTATCAACTCCTGTCAATTTGTAGATCTATAATCATATACATGTACTGTAGCTTTATACAGTATCATCTTTACCACTTTGGCAATTGGTATCATTACCATCAGAAGCTCATTATCCAGGGCTCCACACCAGCTTTTTTGGAAGAGCGTCCAGACTCCAGATTGAACTTTTTACTGTCAGTGTGTACATGTACATGTACGGGGGTTCGCTCACTATTCTGAAGGACTGCAATTAATATATGGACCTCTATTTATAAGGACCGCTATTCATAATTTGAGAAAAGGGTTGCTATTCATAATACGGGTCGCTATTCCGTATTATGAATAGCGACCCTCATTTCTTAATATGAATAGCGGTCCTGATGAGTAGTGACCCCCAATATAAATAATGAATAGCACCCCATCTTCATGTTTTTGAATAGCGACCCCGATTTTGTATTATGATTAACGGTCATTATGAGTAATGACCCTTGATGGGAATTATGAAAAGCAACCCTCATCTAACATTATGAATAGTGGTGTCTATGAATAATGGTCCTTACACCTTAATGAATAGTGACCCCCTTTACGTTTATGGATAGTGATCCCTCACATGTACATGTAGGAAGTTACATGTTATGAAAAGCGGTCCTCATGACTAGGGAGGTTACCCCCGTACATGTACAAGTCCTATGAAAAATTTCAAAATTTTTGGGATCCGACTTGGATTTCAGGCGCCCATACATGTATGTCCTGGGGTACCTATTTTAAGTCGAGCCCTGCATTATCCATCTTCTGCTGGGGTATCAACATGCTACATACCTCCTTGTCTTGTGGGAATAGGCTCTTCTTTCTTCTTGCTCCTCCTGAGGCACTTCTGCCTCCTCAGGCTCCAACTCGGGCTTGTTCTATTTAAAAAAAAATCAACATGCCCCATCCCCCCCACCTTCAGCGAAAAAAGAAGAAGAATAGCGGGAGGAAGGGCGTGGTGGGGGGGGGGGGGGGGGGAGTCTCTCACTACGAGCTGGTGGAACGGCGGGAGAATGTGTGTGGTGGCGGGAGACTCCCTCCAAATGCCCAAATGCGGGAGGGTTGACAGCCCTGTCAAAGAAGACCACCTGTCTACAAAGATCACATTTAGTTTCCCTTGAAACTGTTGAATAGTTTTTCTCATTGAAAAATTTACTGAAGACATACGGTAGTGTACATGTACATAAGTCTTAGTACATATTCATGTACATGTATGTGAATTATATAAAGACCACCTGCAGCACATGTAGATGTACAGAGAGTATTCTCTCTCTCTCTCTCTCTCTCTCTCTCTCTCTCTCGAGCATACAGCTGTCTTATTATCAATGCATTAGCAGAATCACAAGAGCCCATATACATGTACATGTACATGTAC